ACGCGATTCTCCTGCAAATTCCAATATCAGTTTTGAATTCCATCAACTATATACCGAAACAGAGGGCTGGGCAGAAGCACTAGTCAGAAGAAGCCCAAATAATACAGCAATCAGTGTGTCGAGTGTCCTTCCATAGTGAGGTTATATAGTTTCGCCTCCATGCGCTTGGTAACAAACATATTACTTGCATTAAATTTGGAGTTGGGGACAATCGTTTTTTTGCGATATTGTTAAATGTCTCTAGGCTTCAATCATGTTTTAAAGCAAAGCTCTGTTGCTATTGCTCTATTATTACTGAAACAATAATTATAATATTTCGTAATTTTTTATTTTTCTTAAAGTTCTAGGTGATTTTTATGTTATTTTTATAAGATATAGATTCAAACTCATTCAAAAGTCAGATTAGTAAGCAATTATATAGTAGCAGCATTTAAGTGACTTTATTTGAACGTTATTAATTGTTAAGCAATATCGGACCCATTTCACATTAGGGTGAAGTGAAAAACAACTTTCTATGTTATACGACTTTAATTTCTCATGCTGAAATCAGAGGAACGAATTTCATTTAAAAAATTTCTAATATAACAATTTCCCTGCGTATCCAGAAATCCGTCTATAATTAAAAAAATTGATCTACGGCGTAATTTTATTTTGAAGTTCAATTTCCGAAAGATAACATGATTGTTGAGTTGATACTTCTGAATTTAAATGAAATGTTGAATATGAAATATTAAGCCTGATGTGATATGCTAACATGGATGATTTATGCTAAGAGGTTCTTCCAGCTTTACACGCGGCGGTATAAAATGCTGTAAACAATGAGATGATGTGAGTCGAGACATTGGGCTCCCTCCCATGAACTTCAGGTTCAGTTTTTCCAGTCGCGTTTTTCCGAATAAATTAATAGGGTAACATGGGTCAGAGGGCCCACCTCTTGTTTTAAACTAAATTTTTGATGAAGTTTTAATTGATACGACGTGGTTATTTGCTTTGTTCAAAGTTACAACTAATGAGTACTATATGTCAGGGAATTAGAAGCCTAAAGAGTTATAAAGTTTTTACTGAAACACTATTTTGTAAAAAGTGTCAAAAATGCATGGGCCCATTTCTCCACCCCTGCATGGGGCAATGGGCTCATGGGCTTGAGGCAAGGCGCCCAACCCTAGCTGGTCCCATTGCCCCAATTGCATATTTTCTGTTTTAAATATGATAAAACAACACTTTACAGTTCAAATAAAAAAAAATATAGTAAAAATATTACATTCATTCATTTATTAACAACTTAAAGAATCATATTAACTTTAAAAAAAAAATTTTCTTGGCGTAAATAAATCTATCACTGACGCGAAAAAAATATTTCTTGACATAAAAATATATATCCTTGACTTGTAAAAATGTTTCCTTGATTATAAAAAATATATTTAGTTGTCCAGAAAAAATTCGTTGCAGTTTCGTCCTTAAGCCAGATATTATGTGCGGGGGGTTCATACTTACTCGTGATTCGTACTTAATTAATCAACTTTTGGCTCATTGGTGTTGGCTGAAATCAACTTATGGCAAGGCAATTAGGAGTCAACAACTCGCGCCAAACTTTTTGGTTGAGGAATGCGAACTCTCATATTGTGCCACTCCATAAAATGTTTCAGCCTATCCTTGCCAGCCATTTTTTTTTTGTTTGTTAAATAGGCGATTTTTATTTTGTCGCTCAGCAACACTGATTGAAATTCTCCGCACATCTTTACATGTCAGTCCAAACATCGTTTATTGCATTTCTTCAAAGCGCGTAGCAATTGCTACTTCAGCATCTTCAAGGATGTAGTTATCGTATATTACTAAATAAAAAACTCCAGGTTGCTTCATCTTGCCGATTTGTGCCGACGCAACGTTTACTTGGCAATTTTAACTCTTTTTTAATTTGTCATTCCTAATTTTCTCCAAGACATTCTAAAGTTCAATTTCAGAATTGTTGGCTATATTGGTCTTCATTTTATAGTTGCGCTTCATGCTGTAGGGGAAAAAAGATATGGGGTCATAAATACGCATAATTAGAAACTAGAACATGCTGCCCGCAGGCGACAAATAAAAAAAAATCATAAAATATGAAGAGTAATTTGTAATTCAAAAACCTAGTCATAGTTTTGTAGAGGCATTGAGACAAATCTAATGGTGTTAATAACAAAAGACTTCACAGAGGATTATTGAGCCCACTATGGGAGCTCTGCCCCGTGATACGCATGGGCCCGTAGCATAGGTATCATATATCAATTTATATCGTGTCAACATATTATTTTAAAAGCTAATAGTCTAAATACTTGAACTCAAAATTATCCCTATAAATAATACATTCAACTGTTCACAGTACTTTCAAAAGTTTCATATAGAGGAATCGAAAACCGTTTTATTTGGTAATGAAAAACTTTTATCTGGGCTAAAACAGTTATTTGCAAGCAACTTACCAACGCAAACTCTTAGCAAATCGCAAAGCCACACACTTCAGCGAGTGAAACTGTCGACCGGCGGTAGAGAACACGGACCAATATCTGCCATACTTATATAGCGGGAAATCCGCTATGAGCCCGTGACCCGCAGTGGTCCGTTTGCCCCATGTTACCCTACCAAAAACAAACAATCGAGCACAAATGTGAGACCGCTAAAATAGTGTCAAACAAGTTTTTCTTAGTAATAGCTATACTGGAAACGCACAACATTAAACGTTTTAATCAATTCAATTTTTAAGCACAACTAAGCATATCGTTTTAACAACATTTCAACATTATCATCAAAAATGCACAATTTCAGGCTCTGACACTATTATTTTGTATGCCAGAACCCCAGTTTCAGAAATCATTCCTGAACGTCATAGAAACGAGTATTCCTAATATATAGTAAAACGAATTGATAAAAGTAGAAGTTAGAAACTTGTCTCTTGTTTGTTTTTCTTGAAAGTTTAACTCTTTGTTTATTGTGGATATTTTGACCATTGTCAATATGCTATTCGTTTATAGACTATAGGTAATGAGAGTTACCGTCAGCAAACCATGGAGTTGAGATCATAATCAAGTCATTCAAAATTTAAAGAAAGATAAATGAAATATCTCGACGGCGAAATTATTTTCAGCCAGTAAATTATTCTTGTTATTATTTAAAAACGAATATAAATTTGAAATTTCATACATAATCGAATTCAATAAATGTCTAAGAATATATCAGCTACTTTTCTTTTTCGAGACGAAAAACAAAAGATTCGTCAGAATTCGTCAGGCATGAAACTTATGTATTAGCGTTATCATTTTCGATAGTAAAATATCTAACATTAAGAAAACTTCAAACAGATGTTTATAAGGGAAAATTTTAAACTTATATTTTGTTCGAGGACGTCTCGTCCCGTCTCGGTACGGTCTCAGATTTCTAAATGAGTTGAAAAGTCGCAATTTTTATTCCAAAAGAAAGTTGTGCCAATTTTTCTCTCTATTTGGGACAAATTAAGCTTCTTGTCTTGTGTCGAATAAAAAGTATCATAGAATCGTTCATTTTTACATTTAGGAAATTTTTTCGTCAATGAAGGTTCTGTCTTAATAAATTGCTTCCAAATGAAGAAACTGATATATTTTTTGCGTTGAAATTCAAGTCTGGTAATTGGAAAGTTTTATTTTTCGTTATTTTATTTCGTTTCGTCTTTTCTCTCGATCTAAACATCGAGACTTGAACATCGTCTTACGGCTTTCCTAAAATTATAAATAAACGATTGATAAATTTTTAACTAGTGGGGACCAAAACATAATAAAGATATCAAGGCGCATGAAACTGAAATATTCATAAAATAAGTTCCCAAAATCTTGTAATGAAGCCTGTGCTTCGTTGGGTCCTTTCTATCTGTGTGATAGAACCTGATGGGTCCTTCTATCATCACTATTTGATTAAATGTTCAAATGCGTATGTTCAATTTAATAACTCAACTCACCATTATCAACTAAACCAAAGTCGCCAAGTCACGCTACGGCCAATTGACGATGCCAATAAACGGGTTGCACGCTATATTACTGTATGGTTACCATTGACCTAAGATGCGGTCAGTCCCTACTTTTCGAAACTTCCATTCAATGGCTTCGAAATTTGATTCAAAGCCTTACAAAACTCCAGTTTACTGATTTACCCCAGATCCTGGCGTACCACTAACTCCGTTCCAGCTTTCCACTCCACCTCAAACTTTCGCCGTTCGCCTACCGCAGTTCAGAATCTCATTCTGCGTCCCTTTTGCGAGTTTTGGAGGCACACCTTAATTAGAAGTGCAATAACGTATATCGTCCACTTGGTGAATTCAGCCGCTAACTAAGAGCCTTTTTCCAGGAGTCACTTGCCCGAAGGCTTAATGACCAAAATTTACAGCTGGTCAGGCTGCTCGATCATCTTCATTCTATTCAATGATCGCCTTGAAATTTCACACCACACGGCTTAAGCACCCAAATATCAACACGAAAAGCAATAGCCCTACAAATTTACACAAAATATACAGATTTTACTACCTTCCTTTCAGCTTCAAGCGTACCTTGTACTTCGCTGTTGTTAGATCATCCCTTATATACCCCAAATAACTCTACACACTTCATCAAAAACCACCTTTCCAAACTTCTAAGAGTTCAAATGAAAGCATTAAAATTTATTACAAACACAGGTACGATCTCATATCCCAAAAACATTTCACGCCCATGCAACATGCTCGCTATAAATAAAGACCTGCATCGCCAAGCTCGCAAAATCCGAATAACCATTGTATCGTACGATCACATCTATTCATTCAAATCTCACTTCCTCCATATGCTACAGCAAGGCAGCACCAGTCCCATCGGTAAACTCTAAACTTGAATGAAAATATAAAATTAAAGAAAATAATTAGGTAATAAAACACTTATTTCCGCTTTATAATGTTACCTTCGTAATACTTGCTGATTTGTATCTGCTCAAAATGTGTGTGAACTTGATAACTTGATCATATACGTACCTCAAAATAGGGAGCAACCTTGCAAACACCGTTTCTTTGCTAAGCGAGCCGGCAAATTATATTTATTCTTGCGGTTCTGCTAACTTTTAAATAACTTATAGCTAAAGTTTTATTAGTAAATAAAAGTTTTGCAAATCACCGTTCATATATGCGAGTATTTCTGAGCAGCTTGATCAACAGCCATTGGTACATCTAGTAAACTTAAGCTCTAACCCAGCAAACATGGCTAATGAGAGTACGGTGCATAACTAGACACTAGTTTCACTTATGGCCACCCCAGACGCCACCGCTTAGGATGTGGCAGTCGCTGTCTTGGCCTCTGTTATGTCTGCTGGTGCTGAGCGACGTCCAAGGCAGCAATTTGGTGTACACGGTGCACTTCAGTGGTGCTACTCTCTGCCCCGCCTTCGTCAGGAACAAGACACGAGTCGGCAGCGTTGTCATGGTGGGTCAAAATTGAAATAGGTATCAATAAAATGAAGAATTACTTTTACAATTTATCCTCAATTTAATTTAATTTTGCTTCTTTTTAATTGTTGACAATTGATGAAATCGTTCTTCGGAACATTCACCTGTGAATTATTCTCTCTCTGCCACGCGGGTTGTACGTATATATTGCCGACGACATTTCCGGCGGGTTTCTCGGCAATATTCATGTCAGAAAATTCACAAGTTATCGTGCATTCAAGCAGACGTCTTATTTTTACATAAAATATAATATGATATTTATGCATTAGGGACAAAATTCATCAGAAAAAAAGTTCTGATACGTATTGATAACGAACGATAGTCAAAAATTATTTTTTACTGAAAATACTCAGTTTCATTCCTTATATAGTTATGCGTTAAAACTAATTGAAAAATATTATTTAAAGTAGGAACTGATTTGAATGACAAAAATTTCGAGAAAATACAACAAAATAAAATACAAATGTATACACACACGGTCTATGCGCTTAAGTCAATGCGGTGAGTGTCATAACCCTGTGTTCGCATTTTTATAACATTATTTAAAGTGCGCGAAATGTTTATTAGAACTTAAAATGAATTAGTGCTCTACGGGTAAATCAATGTCGTGTGAATGCATGGGAAACCATAGTGTCACTACTACGTGGATATCTTTGAAACAAAACACTTGCGATTCTTGAGGGAACGCTGAGTAAAAAATTTGAGAAGATGACAATTTGAGCCATTTCACTCACACGAAGAAATAAATTACAAGTATAAATTTAACAGGTCCGCATAATATATACATAAACTGCTCTATTATGTATATTCGATATTGATATTGTATTTTCTACATTTTGCTGCACTCATTGTATAAATGTTGCTTTTTGCTGCGGTATTTCCAGTGTGCTCTGCACGCGTCATCGGTACGTGCTCCTGCGTTTGCTTTTTGCGAGGGAGAGACTGAGGACTGCCTTTTGGCATCCTCAGCCTACACTGCGGGAACCATGGCAGCCTCAGGGCTCCTTTGCCGCCTGTACTCCAGCAACTCTCAGCCACCTCTGCCTCCACCCAAGCCTCAGGTAAATAATACTGCGGGAACCATGGCAGCCTCAGGGCTCCTTTGCCGCCTGTACTCCAGCTACTTTCAGCCGCCTCTGCCTCCACCCAAGCCTCAGGTAAATAATACTGCGGGAACCATGGCATCCTCAGGGCTCCTTTGTCGCCTGTACTCCAGCTACTTTCAGCCACCTCTGCCTCCACCCAAGCCTCAGGTAAATAACCACAGCATGAGATAGACATATTAGAGCCAACAACTCATTCAAAGCTTTATCCACTTTATCTGCGAGAAACCCTCAACCTCAAGTGAATACTGTACTTTCACGTTAGCTTCTACTTGTACCAATGCTTCAGGCAAGTGAATCAGCTAATGCGTTAGGTAAATGCGTTCAGCTTCGCAATTTCGGGTAACATCCTCTTTAATTTAAGTAGTAATACTAACATTAATTCCACAGTATATTCAATAAACGTGCTTACTTCTTCAATTTGATTTATTTCCGGTTTATTTCTGAATGAACCTTTCATCTCTCATTTTCTATTTCCTGCTAAAAAAACAATGATACGCTCATATTCATTTTACTGCATTACGTATTCTCTACCAAGTTAAATCTTCTTCCTATTTCTGTATTTTTGTTGTTATAAGATGTAATATAATAAGGAAAACTTGATCTAGGGGATTTAAAAATGAAATTTCCTTGAAACCTTATCACGCATTGATGACACAAAACTTGAGTTTGATATAGAAAAATGAACCCGTGATCAACACTAAACCTATCATGTACAGACCTTATACAATAACAAGATAACTAAAACAGTTGCCTCCTAAGCCTCAAAGTAGGTTTAACCTATTTTTTTCTCCAGGGCAAAAAGAGATACAAGCTGAGCACGGCGATCACTACTAATGGAGACGTTTCGTCGATGAGCGCTGAGAACCTCTGCGCGGCAGACGGCTACCAGTTTGCCGTGATCGCGTCCGCTGCTGAACAACAGTTGGTCTTTGATCAAGTGGGGGCCGGTGAGTCGTACTTAAATTTTGCAAATATATTATTAAATTAGAACCCCAGAAATTTATTACAGGAAAATTGACATATTTTCATTAGAACAATGTGCAGTTTAGAATAAACTCATACTAGGATAAATGCAACGCTTAAGTGTTTACGTGCAATGGAATTAGCGTAGTGAAACGCTTTAGATTTCATTTCTAACTTGAACGATCGCAGGTTGAAGCCAATAGTTGTACGCAACTAACAGGGTAACAGAAACAGAGGGAACATGAGAAATTAAACGACTCGATGTGTAAATGAAATCACCTCGTACGAGGTTGGCCTGTGGCCCGTGGGATGCCACCATGCGCCCACTGCTAAGTCAAGAATTCAGGTTGTTTCGCCGAAGATCTGTGAAAATTCGTTCGGGTCGACAGGTAGTAGGAGGTGATGGCGTCTTTAGAGAATGTGCGCTAATAGCAAGCGGTGTCCCAGAGTGGCCAGGAAAGAGAAGTGATAACTGCAAACATAGTATGAGCAGATAAGGCATTGAGTGCACAATTTGGCAGTTAAATATTAGCTAGGAAGGCTGCGGTGGGTATGAAGGGTTTTAAACACCCGGGTTATGGAGGGTTATAAGGCAGTGTATGGGCTCGCATTTATATACTCTACTTATAGTATCAACGTTACAGATACTATTTGTGAGTCAGCAACATAAATTTTCTTTGCTCAAATAATTTTTTTTTCATTCCATCTTGTTTTCAAATGTTCCATTTTCTCAGTCATTTGTATTCATCTATTATATTTTATTATGTATAATTTGTTTATTATTCTAAAGTTCGGTGAGAATGATGATGTTGCCAGACGAGAACTGATGATGACGTCGTACGGTGTTGCGAAAACGAATGAGTGGGTCGCTCGAGGTTTCAAAGGGTTGAGAATTATTTGCTGGTTGAGATCTATTTTGGTTAGAATGTTTTTCTTTAATCGGTGTATCTAGATGTCCATTTCCGTTGATCTAACTTCGTCCTAGGAGTGAGATAGAATCGAGGTCTGACTAGTCAGCATTAGAGGCGTTTAATTTCTAAGTACTATTACAGTTCGAACGCCATTAAAAGTCGCTTTTGTTTGAATGCGTCAGTGGTTCCAAAAGAATTTCGTGCGTTATACTTATCCACCTGTCGTGGAAAGTTACTCATGCCTTAAGGTTCCACAAATTAACAAATTGTATTTAACTTAATCGACTCGTTTGACTTCATATGATACCGTCAGTTGGATGTAACTAAATAATAGAGATCAATTTAAATCGCAATTTATTCCTAATTATTTTCAATCACTATAATAGCCTCATTGACAATGAGGTAGATTTTTCATAGAGGAAAGATTAACGCATCAGTATGACAACGTTATGATCATCAGTTGTGAGATGAATCTTACGATTTAATAGTTTTGAATATAAATATTACTAATTTTTGCAGCAGTTTCTGAGCCATTCAACTTTTCGGAGATAGCAGTAGATTTATATCGTTTAATAGTTTGACAGAAAATTTACTTTCTTTTGTAAATTTAGGTTAGAAAATTTTTCATGGGAAACTGATTAATTTGTACACGTCTTTGTGAGCGACGTTTCTGTTATACAGCGGTTCCAGCGTTTATTAGGCCGTAGGCCTGCCGCCGATTATTAATATTGCAGAACATCCAAAGCGTGTTGCGGCCTTGAACTCACAACTCACTGCTTCAAATTTTCTTTGCTTAATCGCCCGGCCTGCTTGCCGATTCTGACCAGAAACTAGCGCACAGAGCTGGGATCGAATGCGCACCTCTCTGCTTCAATCTTGTTACTCTGAACTCTAACCACTGGGCCACCCTGCCTATGTTTGCGATAGGCTTCAAACGATTTTAGAGATATTAAATTAAATAATTACGTGGTATAAAAATCATACCTGCCATCAGAAAGTGATCCGAAAAAGCGTATCGTGTCACATGACCTCCTCTGCCTTCAACTCCTAACCCTCCTCCCCCTCTCAAAACCTCCTTTTTATAGTAGGGCCTGCATAGCTGCTCACTGCTAAGCGAGATCCATGTGCCAGCGCTACAATTAACAGCTCAGCGTTCCGTCCTTGCAGAGATATTATAGTGATTCTCAATATTAGCCATTGCGCAGTGCAGTTCTAAGGATAGATGGCCAGTTATAGTTTCACGGCTCCGTTCTTCTTAATTCGGCCAAGAACATCGTCGGTCGTGGCTTAGAATTTTGACTGCAGTGGTCCTGCTGCAGTATCCTGACCCCAGGGCACTGTTTTCCTCGGCGATCACTGTATCCAAGACTGTATTTCACTGCGGAATGCATTCCACTAAAGGCCAACTGAAACGATGCAGCCAGTTAGGAAGAGTAGACCAGGCTGCTAAAACGGTGCAAAAATGCAAGCTTGCAACGGTCTTTCTTCAGAACTGCAGAGACAAGCGGGACGAATTGATTATGGTCTGAAGAACTTTATTAAGGAACTGTGGACACGCGAGGTTCAAATGAGCAGGCGAGGGATAATGCCAGCCACTACGTCGACGAGGCTCCCATGTCTCTGCCAGTTCACGATGTACACAGTGACGGTCATTAAAATTAAGTGGCAGTTGATGGGAATTCCGGGTGGTTTACAGGCTAACGAATGTTTTGTGAGAGGCAAGACCGTAAGGTAGCCGACTAGCCGCAGCTTTTACGTACTTCGTGTAGCACTTGTTCATCTGATTGATATTCAGTCTTGCTCCATCAACACGCTTTTGATCTCGACGCTGTCCACTGCGGTACGGTGTGGAGAGTCTGCGCAGATTTATTGTCATATTATTAAGCCACCTTGCCTGATTTAGATTGTATTAGTAGTTATTACTTTGCGTAATTAGCTTTAGCAGGCCTACATGCAAATCAATTTCAAGCTGTGGCTTGAGGCCCATGACTGCGGCTGCGGCCTATAACTGTGCTGTTGGCAAACATTTGATCAGGCCAATAGAATCAAATTTTTACGTACCATTTCTGTTTCATGTTCCGTGCCCATGTGTGAATTAAACCCTTAGGCAGAAAAGGTAAATACCATAGAGAGGATGGTTTGTAACCAACCCTAGTCTGGACAAAGGATTTCAGCGGTTACACATACCATACAGAACAATCTACGTGGTTCAAGAATGAGCGCGTGGTGGATCTGTATGTGACGGTGAGGAGCTCCATGTGATACTGGTTTGAGTTTGGCCCTCCAGTGGTATGCAATATGCATGTAATCATAGATTTCATTCATGAAGTGCTCTCTAACCTTACCCACTTGAATTTATGACGTAAAAAGGGTTGCTAATTTCGAGGGTTGAGAAAGGTATTGCAAGGTATGATTGTTGTCCCTCTCAAATGTTAATGATAAGAAAATGTAGGTTGTGTTTTTTAGACAAAAAAGGTGTGAAGACAATGATTTTTAGTTACATTTGTTACATATGTTAACACGACGAAGAAACAAAAAGACGCTTTGGAACAACGCTGACTGGCTAATGGTTCGCTGGCATTCTCTAACTCGTAATTTTTGATGGCGCGATTCGAAATAAAGTATTTTCTTCCTTCTCTCGTTTTTATCGCTGAGAAATTACTGAAGTGTTATTTGTGCTGGAGAATTGATACCGTAGAATTTGCTTATCGATATTGATATACCTACATAATAATGAATATTGACAAATTAATTAGGTACATTTTGAATTTAACTAAGTTAATATTAGTTACAGAAATTGGTGATCAACGTTTTTGTAGAGTTAGCAAAGAGATTTATGACGTTCACTAGAAATAATGGCACGGGGTACTAGTTAATTGATAGTTAGGTACTGATGAAGAGTTAGGCGGATGACGTAAAATGGTTGAGGCTTTTATCCTGTTGGTCGGTGTAATGTTCCTATTGGTTCAGGTGCAAACGGATGGGTTTATTGATGCGTTGATGGTAACTTATAATTGGGTTTTTGGGTCATTAGGCTTGGTCCAAGTTTATTAAAGTAGAACAGCAAAACAGAGGAAGTTCTACAAATAAACACACATTTATTTATATTAATTAAACACTAGTAACCAGATAAGTACAATATAATTCTAAAAATATTCCTCACATTATTCTATAACAAACTAGATAACCTAGACGCTTACCGAGCGCAAGAGTACAAGCGGCTGGCTTCAGTGATGATCAACGAATGACCAAACCGTAAGACAGCCTGACAGGTCCTTCCACTACTTTCGTAGATGTTGCCAGAACATCTGCTACAAAATTCCTAAAACTAAAATTCATCAGTCGGGTATTGAGTAGGGCTCCCTCAGAAGGAGGGGCCTTGAGGATGGAGGGAGGAAAGATAACGAAATACGCGTAAATAATGAATACCGCATATATTATAGATGGATCAGAGGCGGGTTACCTTAAAAGGAGTCGCTAGTTATTACTGACAATCACTGACGTTTTGTAACTGTTTATGCAATTAGTGACTGATAGAGTTGACCTTACAATGCACTGATTAAATTTAACCACAACCGAGAGCGCTAGGAGCAATGCGATCAAATCTAGTGTTTCTGGGATACATTTTTTACTGATTGTTTTTCTTTCAGAGATAAAATCTCGCTGCACCTACGCATGTCTGGCATGGCTGTGGCTTGATCCAAGTTACCGCTGGTCGGACGGCAGTGTGCTCAACCAGTGTGAGGTTGGCATAGGCAACCCAGGAGACGCAGTCCCTTGCTTCACTCAGGGGGGTGCACCGGGGCTGTATAAATTCTACTGCAGAGCTGGAACTGGTATTCCTGTAGTCTGCCAAGTTTACGAGTGAGCCTCATACAATTGGTTTGTAGCATTTCTTGGTCAGTTTTTGAACAAACCGGCGATCATCAAGTAACACAGGTGTACCAAAGATTTGCTGGTTTAATTACGGACGACTGTTCCTTACAAGAGGCAAGTAGAAGTCCCCACTCGTAGACTATTATTACTCAAATATTGTGGGTGAATTAGTTATTTTGGTCACTCAACGAAATTTCTTCAGTCCCACCTTGACTAATATTTCACTCACCTACTGTGAGACTGTATCTCACATACTGTGTCACTCACGTTTTAGTGTCATCCATATAATTGTGCTACTAATGGGACTGCCTGAAAAATGTATCGGCTTATGGACTTACTCCTATCACCGGTTCCTTCATAAGAGCCAGGATTTTTCATCATTAGCTAGATCGGGACTGTAATGTCTGAACCTTACCACTATGCGAATTTCCTGCTCTACCATTTTTCAAATAACGATTAATCCTGATTTATTTTCCTTATTTTGATTTGCGATTTTGTTTCCCTTTGATTTGTCCGAAACTGTATAAGTTTCTTTTTGATTTGTCAAAACCTGCAAGTTTCCTTTTGATTTGTTCAAACCTGTACGTTTCATTTTGATTCGTTTAAAACTGTACTTTTCCTTTTGAATTCTTCAAAATTAAACGTTTCCTTTTGATTTGTTCAGAACTGTACCTTTCCTTCTGAATTGTTCGAAACTCCCTGTTTGCACTCCTGCGTTGGTTTGTTTAACTATTACTGCGGTGATTTTACGATAGATGTTGGACTCCGTTGAATGTTCGGCTTAGTGAAGCCGGCTTTAACTTGTCATACGCACCTACTTGCAATTGTACTATTCTTATTTTCTTAGTATTTTCAATTTAGATGAGAACTATTCCTAGCATTTCATCTATATGGAGACAAATAGGCATGATTTTTGGTTGTGTTGACTTGCACGTTATTTGTAACATATTGTGTAATAACTTGACTCCATTGAAGATAGGATTTTTTGCCAGACTAGAATCGGCCAACCGCCAATCTATGTTCATTCATATCATGAACTTCTAAATTATTCTGCACTGTTAATCTCGTCCATGCAGTGAGATTTGAGAGAGTGTCACGGGCTCTATATTCAATCATTTCTATGCGCGACTCCATACAGTATATCAGCACAAAGACTGGCGTTAACGATTTTCCTGCAATTTTTTCAGTTTATCAGTTGATTTACCTCGCAGTGAATGCACTTCGCTAATCGCTCCGGCGTGCAATAGAAGTTCCGGAGTTATTGCGGACTTCTATTCTTTCCAGTTATACAGAAATTCATCATGCGCAACTAATTCCAATATTGTTCTAAATGCGTTTCTTCATTCCTCAAATTCTTTTGGCAATCACAAAGAAATAGTCTAGAAAATACCGAGCGAAATATTTGTTTAGGTTTTCATGTTTAGGCCTCTCATGACCATTAGATCAAAATGTACCCTTAATTCTTTCAATGAACGTGTGAACTCGGCCCGTGTTTCAAACTGTATAAGGTTACCTGTGGTAAATGTTCTACTTGTGAGCAGGCTGAAAAGCTTGTTGGGGAGCGACCTAGCCAAAATTAGAGTATAGGAACCGTCGTGTACGGCTCCTATATAGTGGCCGGACTGCAGTAGCGGCACGGGAAATATAGCAAGCTTGAAAGCGGGAGGATTCCGGAATGATTGCAGCATGTTCGTTTTGGAGAGGATTAAAGATTGGACAGTCTTACTTTGTTCCGGCTCTTTAACTGTTGACATGCTCCACACACTGCCTTGGAACCGATCGCCGATGACTTAAACAAAATTTTTCTATCGGTATATAGTTGTCTTACTCAACGTTCTTAAACACCAGCTTTACTACGTTCAATACACATTTACTTTGAAACTTTATCTAAACATATACCTTATATTAATAAAATTAAGTGTCTAAATTCATTCTCATGAGCAACTAAAGTTTTCGAGAACTTCTTGTATAAATAAGAAAAAAAAAGAACTAGAATGATTCAATGCAAAAATTTAGTCAACAAATGAAGGCAACGAACTTACGAGAAACTAGGCAACTAGTTTCTTCTCACATACATTCCCAGATATAACATCTTTCTAAAATGATACAATTTTATGGCCCGCTTATGCCATCAGGGCTTCGGGTAGTTGTAAGGATTTACACAGTCGAGTTTGGATTCAAATTTTTATTTAATCAAACGAATTCAAAAGAAGTAAAATTGGCTGGAAGCATCAACGGCGCTCTTAGTAATAGCCAAGATGAATTGTAAGGTTTTCATTTATTTACTTATTCATCCTCCTGGTAGCAGTTACGAGGAAGTGAAATTTGGTAAGCAATAGCGACGAATAAAATAAGGTTGGCTTGCTCCGAGCGTGGCGAGAGTTTAACGGGCTCCAGATGTGGTCTCCTAGGCGCTGCGACGTAGCCGTGACGCCAGACAACGTAGACGTCACGTATAAGAAATAAAATAGCACGGAGGAAAGGCTCATCGACAGCACTGGGCCCGAAACTTGCAAACATAGATAGTAAAAACACAAACATAATCTCGGTTAGGTTCATACAGGATTTGACTATAAAATTAATAATCAGCAATTTCAGCAGCAAAGATCAAATTAATTCAAAAATCCTTCGACTGACCTGAGGTTTTTATTGCCCAGTGTTACGACTCTACGAAAATGTAATGAATGAAGAGTTTAATTTGAGAAATTTAGCGGAAATCAGTTAGAGGAGTAGGAAGTTGGACGGAAAAAGACAGCGAGAATAGCTAAAGGTTTCACTGCGTGTTAAAAGAAGATGAAAGACTTAAATTAGGATTGCACATTCCGAAACAGTATAGCCAACTGCCATCGTGAATTGCACGACCCCATTTCTGGCAAAAATAGAACTATTGATATTTGATAAACTTCAATTATACTTTGAAATGATTTAAAATATTTATTTTAATTTGGTATATATTTAACAACCATATATTTAATAACTTTGATATATATTTGATATAGATATTGAAATAAATTTAATATATATATATTTGAAATAAACTTAAACTTTGCTATAGATTTGCAATATATTAGATATTAATTTGATATAAATTTACTTAAAATGATACACTTAAAAAATGTGTCCAGCTTCCCACAGGAGCAAAATTAAGCATAGTTAATGCAGGAAAAGGACACGGCATTCGCACAAAATAAGGGACAGCGAATCAGGTTTATAGGAAGTTTGAGAAATACTTAATGAATGACGAGTATGATGCTTCTGTAGACACTGATTAGTTGGCGGCACAAAACTGTAGTTCGTAAGTATCACAGAGTGACGACCACCACTCGGAACAGCCAAACGAATCTAAGAAATCTGACGAGCTTGCTCGCCCAGTCTCGGACATTGACTTGTCCGCACAAGCTGGACAAGAAGCAACCGCACTGCGTCGGAAATAAATAATTCAAGATTACCTTTATTATTATGGAAGATTGATTGGAAATAATATTTAGCTTCGAAATTAAAGAAATAATCGGTGAGAAATTAATAATTTCTCACACAGTCCTGGCGTGACATTCGGCAACATCGCAATAGCTGATGAGGTATGGCATGCAGCCCAACGCACGAGACATGCTGAGGAGGACCGAATATTATGCCCTCTTTGTGTAGTAATAGAGGAGCACATATGATGGGAGGTACATCTGGAGCCTGGTCTACTCACTTATGATTAAATGTCAACCCTCTGATTATGATTATTATGAGTCAACCCTCTGATCCATGGTAGCAGGTAATGCGAGAATTTCGGTTTCACAGCATATTGTGGTCGCATAAAATGACGCAACCTGTAAAAGATACTGGTACATGAAAAACTTAGCTTATTTTCATAAAGAAATCTGCTGTTTTTAGTAAAGATTATTACAAATTAATAATCATCACATATAGTAGCGACCCAGATTTATAACTAACTTAAAAATTCATTTATTTCAGCACACACGAAGGATCCGATCATTTAATAAACAAAGCTTAACGCAATGCATGGTATTTTCATGAAATAGCATATAGATCAGTTTTGACGGCTCAAACATATAGCTTGCAAACCTTCGGTTTGAAGAGCACCAAACACATGCAGGATTATGAACAATAACTACTGCAGTCGAATGCTTGGAGTTTGGCAGGCAGTATTCTGACTTGAGCCAAATAAAATTCGGGTGAGATTGGTTAAATTAGCACAAACTTAATCAATATTAGGTAAAGTGGCCTTCGCTGCACCAATTTAAAAAAAAGAACGATAACGGTGACGATCCTGCAGCGAACTGCTATATTGTTTCGATCTTCACAGCCGAATCAAAATTAGAAGCAGCGTAGAACAATGAAACAATTCCGTGCGTTAGGTGCGACCAGCTCAAATGTCTAGATAGCTCAATGTAGCTAAAGGTATTAATCTGAAACGTTCGTTCGCAGCTTTCGTAACATTTATCTGAAAATTTCGCTTAGCCATAGCCATTAGGAGGATGACGTCATAACATAACATTACCTAGTGATGTTGGCGCTGAAGAGTACACCTGATGCGGCCAGTCGCCGATTCATGTATTTTTCGTGACTTGTTCACAGAAGATCTAAAATCGTGTCATTTGACCGGATCTTTTCAAGACTGACGATAGTTTGAAATAGCTACTAGAGTTCCACCGAGTTCGATATCGTGCTAGCCATTTCAAGTCTGAACATATATTTTTCCATAGCTTTATCTAGTATGTTCTTGAACTCGTTCATACTCGGAGCGCCGACGATGTAATCAGGGAGGCTGTTCCACATGTCGGCGATTCGAAGCGAGAAGAAATGTCGCGCGGATAGGGTCCCTATCGAAATTCGAAGACCTGTCAGCCGCTGGCACACGGACGCCCCAGGTTCTTATGGCCGGGTAAATTAGAAGCTCTATGTCCGCATTAGGTTCCGGTTGCCGTAGCGAAATAAGCGCCGAAATGGAATCTTGTGAAATTACTCGTCGAGCTTNTTTGAAAGAAGTGATGGTGAAAGATACACCATACAACTACATCTTATCAATAAAATACTCGTGGGAAAAACTTAACAAATTTTCCTTCATAATTTAAATTTTCTAGTCAAATACGTCATAATTTAAGGAAATTGTTTAAAGCTCTCTGAGAGCATCAAATTGTTTAAAGCTCTCTGAATGAGACAAAACTATAATAGTACCTTTTCTATAAGCATTGAGCTATGAGCACTCTTCACTAGGTACTGGTCGAGTCACGGTTCGATCTAAACTGGCGCCTTTGCTGTGCTCTGTCCGGATGGGGGGTGCGGGAGGTAGACCCCCATGCACATACCCACATACCCCCGTATGGCGGGAACTTCGATTGTTCGTGGGTTTCCTTGCTCAGACTCTGACCAGCCCCATCGTGCGATAGCGTCATCAGCGTTTGACCAGGGGCATCAAGACGAAGCTTGACCAGCTGCTCTTTTTAAGCATATTACGAAGATTTGGCCTACCGGGCAATTGACTTCCAAAAGAAGCTGGTAAATAGAAGCAAAACACCCTACGTGGCCGACTTGCTCCTGATTCACCCCTAAGCCGAATATAGTTCCTCTAAAACGACCTTAATCGGCACGAAAATTTTGACAGGGGTGCAGCGCAGTTTTTTTTAGTTTATAGCCGTGGCACCAGGTGGTGGTTCTTGTTTCAAATTCTAGTAATCCTTCGGGAAACTTGTATAAACCATGAGTTTACTTGTATACTTCGATGAGATTCCAACGCAGACGTCGATAACTGAGGCTTGGAAGCTTCATAATCATAGTCATAATATTCTCCATGAAGAAAAATAGCGAATTTTCATGCAAGTTTAAATGTAATAGTTAAAAAAATTGTCAAATAGCTGAAATATTCCTGAAAAATGCATAAATTTGAATTATCATGTTTTTATGATTTAACATACATACGAACAAGTTTCATAATTGAGCTTCACAGTTTTCATCGTTGGAGTAAGTTTTCCTACGCCTGCAGCGGCTGTCTTTCAAATAACAAAGGGAAACTGTTGTTTGCCTAAACTTGTCATGCGCAAAGTTGGCAAGCATATCAATAATTTGTCAAGTTTTATCATCATTTACTATTGTGTTGTACTGTATTTTGTAACTACTACAGGGTCCGCAATATTTATGGCAACGGATGTTTGCTATATAAAAATAAATTGGTTTCTAGGAGACTTTTCTTTTATAATGAAGCTTAATATCATCTATTAATTCATCTATTTTATATTACAGAAGTCTAAGGTGTCAAAATTTACTATTACTTATGGCAGTAGATAGAAATGCAATTGTAACCCGTCATGAAAAGGGCGAGAGTAATTCAGTCATTGCAAAAAAGCTCCAAATTCGTCGTGAGACTGTGTGGAAGGTGGTAAAAAAATTCAAGAAAACTGGTGAAACATGCAATCAACCTGGTCAAGGGAGGAAACGAAGTGTCCGAACAAAACAATTGGTCAAAAACACGAGGGAGAAGTCGAGGAGAAACCCTAGTCGCTCAACTGCAAAATTGGCTACAGAAGCAGGAGTCAATCGGACATTAATGCGTAGAGTCCTCAAAGATGACCTCAAAACCTCCCCTTACAAGATGCAAACAAGGCATGAACTAACAGACCGTCATGAACAAAGAGGCTCGAAAGATGCCAGCACATTCTGGATCTCATTGAGGATGGCACGCTGCCCAACTTGGTGTTCAGTGACGAGAAAAAAATTGACATTGAACAAAGCGTCAACCGTCAAAATGACAGAGTTTGGAAACGGGATGGATCTGTGGCAACCAGAACAGCAACACGACGTCAAAATCCCATGTCCGTGAAGGTTTGGGCCACTGTAACCGCCACTGGGAGGTCCCCACTCGTTTTTGTCCACTCAGGAGTGGAATTGAACAGTCAGTGGTACATTTCGGACATTTTGGAAGCTGTGTTGTTGTTACCTTGGGCCCGTAAACACTTCGGCTCACCATGGAGTTTTCAACAAGACTCTGCCCCATCGCACGGCTCAAACATGACCCAAAACTGGATTCAGGGTCACATCTCAGCGTTCATTAGCAAAAATGAATGGCCCTCAAGAAGCCCTGATTTGAATCCTCTCGACTTTTCTGTGTAGCTATTTTAGAGAGTAGGGTCTGCAGAACACCTCATGATTCTTTGGATAGTTTGAAGTCTAAATTGACACGAGAATGGGACTTGATCCGCCAAGAAATGCTGCGTGTCTCCTGTGAAGCTTTCCCGCGTAGATTGGAGGCCGTCATTGAAAATAAGGGTGGTTATATTGATTGATTGATTGGTTTTTTATTCACAAAGGAGCTCTAGTTCCAATTCAAAAGAAAAAAAAATCATAAAATAATAGAGACATCCAAGTGAATTCCCATGAGCAGATAATTAAGCTTCGCAGGCAACAGAGGTGATTTAAAACTCTATTCCAATGATAAGGCAAAGAAGTTAAGAGTAACAGAAAGTTTCTAAATTAAACACATACAAGGAAAATAAACCTCAAGAAAACTGATAACGGGATGTCAATAAAATTAAGCGTAACAAAGCAATATAAATATAATAGTGATTAAAGACGGGTAAAAACTTGAAATATTGAGTCAAAAATATTCAGAATCTGCATGACAGTTAGTTAGTTAGTTAGTTTAGTGGCCACATGTTTACTAGCGCTTCAGCTATTTAGCTATCTCGCGCCGAAAGTCATGATGAACATCACCAAAGAAGCGGAAGGTCTAAATTTTCAAAAGTTTCTCAAATCAAAAATTGTTCATCACCCACAAGGGGCGGAAGGACTCAATTGTCCAGCCCGCTGAAGCTGGCTCGAAAGAAGCAGCGTTAGCATCTCACAGAGACGAAGTGACAAGGAGGGACAGGTGAAAAGTAACAGTAACGAAGACACTCGAACAAGAGGTCGCTTACACGGGACGTCGGCCGCCCGCATGAGAGAGAGAGAGAAGGGAAATGTAAGGAATCCTACCTACATAATAACTTGACCCCACAACTGAGACATGCAGTCAGACACCGCAAGCTCAGCGGTGGGGGCTGAAGAACAATCCCCCTAGGAACGCGAAATCCCATAGGACTTCTGACGAGCACGTGCAGACACCCGTCAGAAGTTCCCTCTGGGGGAATTGCATGACAAGCGAAGTCAAATTAATACTGGGTATGAATAAATTTGCGGAATTTCGTTTTTAAAAGTAATTTGGAACAATCTTTTTCAAAATCTTCATGTAATTCATTAAAATATTTGACGCAGTTAAAAACAGTACCGCTTTTTTCTATTTCTAGACGAACCGTTGGCAAGATAAATCTTACTCCCCTGCTATAATGGGAATGTTGAGGGACGAGAGAGGCGAAGGCAGACTCAAAAAGACGATCATCATGGAAAAGTGCCCTATTCACGAATCTTAAAAGCTCAAATATATACATATAGTCAAATTTTAAGATTTTAGACTGCTTATATAATTTGTTAGTGCGAGTCAAAGGAATATTATTGACATCATGCTTAACCCTAATCATGGCACGCAATGTTTTATTAACTGGCGTATTGACCCGCTGTATTAAAAGGTACACCACCAGATTACCAAAGTGTTTGATAGTTTAGAAACAGACAATGCGTAGAAAAGCGTTTGTAACGAAGTAAAAGGTAGGACGCTCGACAATGCACGCAAAACTCAGCCCCTGACAGACGTAGTTGATGTGCTTATTGAAGGAAATCTCGTTGTCGATGATTAAACCAAGATATCTAAATTCGTCGACCCATTGTAAAATTGTGCCATTGAAGGTTATGTCACGTAGGACGGAAACGGGTCTGGGAGTAAAAAGCATCAACTTAGTCTTTTCAGTGTGAGCTACTAGCTTGTTAAAAAAGCCATCTCGACAAATACACAGTAAGTTCCGATATGTTATCGCACACTTCGTCGAAGAAACTTCTCGAGACATAAAACACTGCGTCGTCGGCAAAAAGACGTTAAGAGATGCGTCGTCGACACTGCGTTCACGTTAAGAGATAAAGCAATGTCATTAATAAAAATAGTAAAGAAAAGAGGTCCCAGTACAGAGCCTTGTGGATCACCTATATTGATTGGTTTTATGGGTGAATTGAACTCGTTTAACGCGACGAACTGTTCTCTATTCGAGAGGTAAGACTGAATAAGTGAGAGGAAGGTCCCTCTAATACCAAAACGGTGTAGCTTCCCTAAAAGAATTCGGTGATATAAACAATCAAAAGCCTTCTGTAGGTCCAGAAAAAGAGCGACACAGTAATCTTTTGGATGATACGTCCTAAGAAGGCATTGAACTAGATAAAATATAGCCATGAAATTTATCGAAAAAAGTAGTTAGTCTAGAGTGGAGAATTTTTTCAAAAATCTTGCTAGGATAAGACAGGGTTGATAGAGGTTAAGTTACGCTGTTTGACATATTTATTTACAAAGAAAATTTACCTCAAGTAGTAATCATTACAGGAAACTGACATTGAAGTTTGGCGGGCGAAAGCGTCAAAGCGTACAGCAAGACAATTAAAGCGTTAAAAAATGAGTGAAAAACACATAAGCTCCCAAAATAAAATGATAACTTATCAAGAGTTGTGCACAAGAAAACGGTACCAAATTTGCAATAATGGAAATAATACGGGAAATATGTCGCAACCAGACCAATAAGAAGTACTAATAAATATAAACAAATAAATATAATAATAAAATACTAGTAAGTAGTTTAAGATAAAGTTGAAAGTTCAAGATAAGCTTGTAACGAGTGTTTCGATTTTAATCAATCCTGCTGACGAGAGTTCCGGTTCGGTCATATACATATAGACTATATAGAGGAATCAGCAGGCCCAGCATTACTTCGAGTACAATGCGTCTAGAAGCCACGTTTGGAAATTTTCCCAACCAACGATATAGATTTGAATTCTGCTCAATATTTTCGTTGAATAAGAATTACGCTATTGCTTAGCATTTAAAAATAACTGAGTGCAAAATACTATAAATCTATGGTTACGAACTTCGGATTATAGTGCACATCGATCGTCCCTAGTCTTAGGTTTCACTGTTTTAACGACTCCTGTTCAAATAGCGAAAAATAGCCGAAATGAAGAGTAATTAGATAAGTGCAACGCGTTTAGATAGGACAGTCATTATAAAACGATACATTTTTGATTTGTAAAGCATATTTATTCGATTGTTATTGTCGTGGCGATTGAGTTGACGAGCAATAGAGCACTGTTGATTCTGGCGCTATAAAGTGTTGATTCATTTCAGCTTTGTAATTACCGTCGAATTTGGAAAGAATTTTTCAAGTTTTCTGTCAACAAACGGAACCGCGCAGCACATGATTCATAACTAGACATCACAACTATATTTACATTTTGTGACATGTAGAAATCGTCTGAATGTACCCTGCTGTAATTTTTAGTGCATTGGATTTTTTTGTGCACCTATCAAAGTTATTCATTATTTTATGATAAAAAAATTATTTTCAGCTTAATCCTACACTTCCAACATAATGCCGATGTTTTCTATTGTGATTAATATAGTTGTCTTAGAAGATGATAAATTTTCGAAAAAAACATGACCGGTTGCAGACTGACTGCGAAATAATAATTATTAGAACGACAGGTCTTGTAAGTGGACAATTTTCTAGTGTTCTATGTACGTAGTCGAACTTGCTTACAATTTGCAATCATTATAGGTTCTCCCTTAGATTGTATTAACAGGCATGATTCCCTTATCAGATTTCCTAATCTGATATGCTTGTCCATGAACTCTGAATTATCAGTTACAGCGGACAATTGAGTGCGGTAGGTCTCCATACAACTTGTGCGGGTCCATCGAAAGATATACTAATTCTAAAGTGCTGTACACTTCTACATTTTGAAACCCATAGCAGAGGCATTGTTATTTTCTACATATTTTGTTAACTCGTTCAATGTAAGTATGTAGTCGCATTACAAGTCATTATTTACTTAAAAAATGTCATTCGATGTGGAAACATTCCTTCGATTTGAGCAATTGAAAATAGGCAAAAAAAATTCACAAAGCGCACTATATTCAGGTATTGATGAGAAATACACTTATGAGAGGCGACAAGCAATAATTCTACGAGAGAGAAAATGTAGATTCACTTCAAATATTTGCATATTAAATGGATGAACTAGTCCGCAAATAAAGACTTTCCGTTGCTCGAAACCTAATTAAATGGACCGTTTCGGTCAAAAATCGAAAATTTTGGCTTTTCCGGTTTTTAGTCTCATTTTAAAGCTGACATTCTGCCCTATCCAACGGTACCATTGCCATCTCTGTACGTTCATCAGGAATTTAAAAGCAAGGAAAACAGCCAGAATATTAACCATTAACCTTTGTCGATTTATGCTTTCACGACCGATCATGAAAGGGAAGCGGGTGGGGGAGTTCTATAACAAATTAGAAAGTAGATAATTAGCTGCTGAGCACTTTAAATAAAAATAAAGTGTCTACTTGAGCTGTGCTTCAGTTACCCGTTTAGTCTCATCTTAAAGCTGACATTCTGCCCTATCCAACGGTAACATTACCATCTCTGTACGTTCATTTATACGCTCACGACAGATCATGAAAGGGGGGCGGGGAGAGAGTTCTTTACCAAATTAGATAGGAGCTAATTTGCTGCCCAGCACTATAAATACAGTGTTTACTTGAGGTGCGGCTCAGTCCCCCCCGCCTGCCGTTGTATGAGGAGGTGCGCATGTAGTCGCTCCTACCATCTTTGAGTGGAATCAAGCTCCAGAAACATTTAGTTTCGTATCCTTGCTACATTGAGTGCCTATTGCGATGCGGGCGGGTCTTTGTCGCGCTCCCCTGAACATTCACAGTTATTGTCACGAAAAACCTATCTTCTCCTAGAGTTATGAAGCTGCAGCGATGAGACAATTACCATTCGATTCGTAAATAAAATCTCTAGAAAAATCCGCTCATTTTGTTCGATTTCGTTTTATTTTGGATCATATTTTGCAAAAAAGGGGGGGGGGGAATTCGAAATTTTTTGGAAAATCTCCCCTCCTCCCGGAAAAATTCGAAATTCAAAAAAATTACCAAATGGATTTTAGATATGGTGGTTACCAATCGAATGATACGTGTCTCGATGTTGTAGCACGATATTTGTATAGGAGGAGATAGATTTTTAAACTACCTCCTTTTTTCGCCGTTTTCTATCAATTTCACGCGTTCTTTCATTTTTTTCGAAAAATTCACACGAAGAAAAGGTTACTAGATTTCTGTTTTACATATTTGTACCAAGTTTCAAAACGATCCGTTCGTCAATGAAAAAGTTTTCACAAGGCCGAAACGGTCCCCTTAAATGTCAATTTGTACAATAACTTTTCGAGTAGTTGTGGACGCGGTTGACAGCTTACCATACAAGAAACTGAAATATCGGTAAATATCAGAGCCTCCGTGTTTCCTCTTTAAAAAAGTATCCATTTTAAATTGAAAAAGGTGATGGAAAAAATCCAGCGACTTTCGCAACAAGGAATTGGTATAAAATTATACAATTTCTATCTTTGTCTGGGCATTTATAACAACATAAGTAAAGCGTTTGTTATTAGGTAAAACAATTTCATTTTCATCGACTCTGAGTAAACATAGAGTTATGAGTTATTTCAACAATAATTTGAAATTTTCTAAGAATATTGAAGGTCAAGTTATTAAAGCCAATAAACAACTTGGACTGATCAGGCGCTCTTTCGAGTTCCTAGATGCAGAGCAATGAAGCAGTTGTTTGTTGCTGTAGTGCGCCCGAACCTAGAGTTTGGATACGTCGTGTGGTCACCGAAATTTGAAAATGGCAAAAATTTAGTAGAGAGTGTTCAAAGACGCGCAACAAGGATTGTTCCGGGCTTGAAAGGCAAGTCCTATGAGGAAAGATTAAAGATTATGAAGCTTCCAAGCCTCAGTTATCGACGTCTGCGTGGGGACCTCATTGAAGCATACAAGTATACTCATGGCTTATACAAGGTCCCACAAGGATTACTAGAATTTGAAACAAGAACCAACACTAGGGGCCACGGCTATAAACTAATAAAAACAGCGTTGGAACACATCCATGCGACTACATTTCTTCTCGCTTCGAGTCACCGACATGTGGAACAGCCTCCCTGATAGCATCGTTGACGCTCCGAGTATGAACATCTTCAGAAACAGACTAGACGAAGCTATGCAGGAGCATATGTTCAGTCTTAAAATGCCTAGCAAATTATGGCCCAGGCAATAAGTCCAGACGAAGCTATGCAGGAGCATATGTTCAGTCTTAAAATGGCTAGCAAATTACGGACCAGGCAATAAGTTCAGCAGCTAAATCAATCGTCAGTTATGGAAAGATCGGGTTCCAAAGGCCGGATCCCTTGTGAATCAAGTCACGACAAGTTCAAGAATCGGCAAAAGACCATGGGCCTATTTATTCAATGCCGACACTTCTATTCTATGACATAGCTCGTTTTAGCGTGATGTTGAATGCTTGGGGACAGTTGAATATCTACATATTTGACAAACATGATCGCAAAAATTTCTGAAATTTGCTTTGATACTTATTTCCGAGGCAGTGTTTTGGCAGTAAAATGTAGCCGAAGAAATATACTTTGAATCTGCTGATTATAATCAAAGAGATACAATGAATTCGTTGAACATTGATAGATTAGTGTTTGCTGAGCTGTCAAAGTAAAATATAACTTCAGCATCGTCTTCGATTCTTTATTCAATTTCGAACAAAAGTGTTAACTACTCATTTCTCTTACATGCTCAGTATAACGAAATGAATAATAAATTGACTTACAGTATGTTGTGACAGAAATTTAAAATGAACTTTATTGATTGATGAAGTCCAAAGCCTATGTTTGGTCGTAAGAAAGGAAATGAAGAAATGATTTTCAATACCAGTATTTACAAAATCTTTATGGGACATAGTTTGTACTTTTATTTTCTCTAGCGTACTTGACTTCTTTTGATTCCAAATAATCCTGCAGCTGGAAATGTCGAGCAAGATTAAGCTGAGTGGCGGGCGGTACGCCGAGGAGCTTCCTGGCGCACTGATGCAGCGCTACGTCCAAGACTTCACCGGGACTATGGGGCCGATGTTGCGCATTGAGCCCTCTGGCACTATCGTCACGCACGACTACAAACACTTTATTGATGAAATATATAATTTCAAGGTTTGTATCAAGTATTGGACTCGCTCTTCCTCAACTTTTTAGATGATCAGGTATGCAGAACAACCTAACCTAAGTATCCAGAATAACCTCAAATGATCAAGTAATCCGTTTTCTGAGCGATTTTATATTGAATATAAATGAAATAACCGGCAGAACATCAACATTGAAAGCACACTATTGCTACTATTATTGATTTACACGTACAGTATCCAATGTTCTTTTTAAAATAAATGATTCTAATTTCAGGTTGAGAGCATGGATTTTTGTTGTTCATTACTTTCTTTGTGTATCTTGAGTAATTAATTTGCTCAAGATATTAATGGCGATGTATAGCAAGGATTCATTCAGTTAGCCAACATTATGCGAATTGCATGTTTAAAGCCTTTGTAAACGAATATACGTATCAAGAAGTATTCATCATAATTTTAACGTCGCGATGACGATTTTTAACGTTGATTTAACGGCGGCTGGTGCAATACCCAGCATGCGCGATGACGGCCAATAACGGGTGGTAGTTCGGCAGTGGCTCCAATCACTGCTGGAGTTGATAGAAATTTTCAACTGGGTTAAGTAGATCTGGTAGAAGCTGAGCTCGGACAAGAAAATCAATCTTTAAAGGCTTGAATTATAACGGCTTCCAGGCTATGTAAAAAGGGGTCGATAAGATCGAGGTCCTATTATTTTTTTAGCATCCTGTGCACATGCTTGGAATACTTGGAAAATGCAAAAAGGGGTTTGAGAAGTTCGATAACACTTAAAATTGAAATATTATATTCCCAACAATACAATGAAAAATAATAAACCGAATTTTATCTGCACAAGTTCAGAGGACGTTTCCACGCGGAGAACGTGTAATCGAAACCTTGAAAGATAGTGGGAGACTGGTAAAAAGATCGGAAGTTTTATTCCATGACCTTTAGTGAAATTTTTGGCAATGCAATATAGAACGAATTTCTGTAATTTATTGTTGATGGGGGTCAGCGATGGCACAAAATGGATTTATTAGAATACAGTATAATGCGAGGAGTAGCCATCGTCAAGTTTCAAGATTGGTTAAGGCCAGACATGCCATCGATGTCTCGTCCAGTCTCCCTTAATTTCCATTTGAGATTCTTTGCACGTACTTCATGATTCCGGTATTCATCTTATTTATCGACATGTAACATACTTATTTGAACTGTTGTTTAACTATAACAAAGCTTTCTTTATCGGGATTAAATTTTCCAGTTTCGGCCTGACGACGTTTTGGTAATGACATACCCGAAGTGCGGCACCACCTGGTGCCAGGAGATCGTTTGGAACATGAGGAATAACCCCAACCTGGACCACCCCAACCCAGAAGAACCATTACTTTCAAGGAGCCCATTTATTGAGTGAGAATGATATATTAATTGACCAGGGAATATTTTTATAAATAAAATAAGGTATTTTAAAAAATGTCAGTGTTCATCTAAGCATCAATCAAATAGGGTCTATGGTATCGAAAATTAGCACAGGTGTGAGTGCACAGGTGTGAAGAGCCGAAAATGATTAATCGTTCAACCCTAAATTGTAAATATAATAGTTTGAACCGATAATGACATAGACAACGTGCTTGTTTTAATTCATGAATAAGTTCAGGATAAAAGCAATCGCCTAGCATAGTTTACGCTCCGAGAACGAACGTCTCCAAGAACAGACTATAGATGAAGTTAAGTAGACATATGTGTATTCAGACATTGAGTCCCCATCACTATATAAAAGGAGCTGGTAATAGCTCAGTTAGCCTCAGTAGCTATTTATTTCAACGCCAGTTTTGAAATGATCTGGTCATACGGACATTTGAAGATCTCCTGTGGACAAGTCACTAAAATTTCGAGAATCAGCGATTGGCCATGCTTAGCTATTCGTCAGAGCCAATATAACTACATACTCGTCATTTGAAACATTCATTTTCCGAGTTATATGGAAGATTTGAAGTCTTCCAGTAAAATTTCTACATTGGATAGTTTAACAACGACTCAAATGAAAAGGTATCTTCAATCGAGACTAATATTTCAGTCGAGGATTTGATCCATGACTGAATTTGGGGCCTGATTTTATGTTATTACCGTAAAAATTAAAAAATGGGCACATAACGGAAACAATTGACATGAATACTAACTTTATATTAACGATCCTGTGATCAATCTGTAACCATGGAAGAAATTTTCAACTCAACAAAATTTTCACAGCAGATGAAATATAGTTACGAGTCATTTAGGTTGCATAACACCGTTTGAAATAATATTTGCTTACACAGGAACGTGCCTCACGCATCGACGCCCACAATATACCAGAGTACAGATAATTTGGCCTAGGGTCACGTCTGCCAGCTTTATAACCTACATTAAAAAATTTAGGCAATGGATACATCATTTCTAACTTAGATCTCGCTAATAAGTCCGAAAATTTTATTATTGCATGGTGATAAATTGAATCATCGGATTCAGTAAATGAGTTCGCAAATTATAAGTATTATTAAATCACGATATTTTCTTACATAAAAAATGATTTAGAAGTGACATATGTTCAAGAATTTGAGCTCTTCTTTTACCATTTTTAAGTTATTTAATATCAGTCTTTCATCCGAAGTGATCGCAAGTAGGAATGATCTTAACTGATCGCCATTAAATAATTATTTAGATGACGATAGACCTTATGATATGGAATTGATTCACTCTTATTCTTATTCTGCTGACGCGGTTACATGAAGTTGAAGGTAGGGTTGAAAATGGCGTTACTTTGTTTAATTGCATTTGGACCCGGGCGTTAAAATGTAAAATATAACCTACCTCCTAAAGTAACTGTTTATTAACTTTCGAAAAATTTTGCACTAAATTGACATTTTAGTTTTGTCGTTTGTTGGCTCATATTTTTAGGATGCTCAATATTTTAGGTTAACAAATGCAAACTTCGAAGAAAATGATTCTATTGTTAAATAAAATAATCTCGAATCGCATTGAATCGCTTCGGAAGTAAAAAGCACGATGGTAATTGCATGTGATATACATTTAATAAATGGCAGTGTCTGTCAAACATGATTGCTTGAGAATATAAAATGTCCTCAAGGTGTGATGTAAACCAGTGAAATTATTAGGATGTAGGTAATTTCATTTAATTTTCTATTTTTTTGCATTAAAGTTTAGTTATATTGACTAAATTTTACAGAGCAGACATGCTGACGTTTGGGACGATGCAGCAGATGCCTTTCGACACGTTTCTTTCCGACGCCATGTTTACCAACTTCAGATCTCGCTGTCCTAATTTGGACTCAAAACGTGGAATCCACCTTCAGGTGAGACAAAAATAAAACATTTTCTAGAAATAATGACATTTCTTTCTTTGCAATGATACCAAAGATGCTCAATTAAGATAAAATTTTCGTGAGATTTCAAAGTATATTGTTGAACGTGAACAATTTATTGTGAAAGTTATTATATTAGTCAAACTAAAGTAAATGCCTAGAAAGCTCATCAGGATAGTGTTAAATTTTCTCTGTATGCAAATTGAAAATTATTGTAATACGGTTGGGAAAGTTTTTAATCGAATCGGCCGTTTGAAAAATTGTAATGAATTGACTCTAGTCATAATTTTACAACATCCAAGATTTTCAGATCCAAAATGCAAATAGGACACCGAAACTCACAATAAAGTTTAATCGCTGGATTCGTAACTTAGATGTCCTGCAATTAATGATGCGCTTCATAAATTTGTCTTAGCTTTGTCATTGTATTCACTGATTATCAACCCGAACAAACTCGTGATTGAATTATATTGATTGCAGGTGGCAGAATCGCAAAAGGAGCCTCGCACCCTCAAGACGCACCTGCCCTTCTCCTGCTTCGCCCCCGGCCTGCTGGATAAGTGCAAGGTAAATAATTCAGTGGAGAATGGAAAGGCACGTGCGACTGAAGCAGTTATTTGTAGTTGCACGGACGAAATACAGCGCAAAATGAATGCAATTATATGAAATGCCATGCATCGCAATTTTTTGGATTCGCTAAAAAATTCCCATCGGCGTTACAGAGACCGGCTAAATACTGTAACATTATACGCTGGGAATGTTTTCCAGGAGAAAAACGGGGCGCCGGTTCGTGTTTTTATGTAGTTTAACGTGTTTTTAAGTGTTTTTAACGGGGCGCCGGTTCGTTTGTATTTTATGTTCGTACTCTGTAATAAAGTTTGTCATAAGGCTTGATACGAATCGGGAGAAATCGTTTCAAACATTCATTAATGCGGTTGAACAATGCAAGTTATGCTAATAATACTCGTAGTTACCAACTTCGTCTTATTGCGTCTACCCGACAATTTCCATTCGTGCCTCGGAAACATTATTTCAATGAATAGCGGTTGGAGTGTTTAGCACGGCAGCGTAGCTGCAAACAGTCCTTCTGTTGGTCCAAAATAATTATATTACTAAAAACTAATGGCGCCTCCGCCTGAAAATAAGACCAGTGATGTACTTCAAAGCATTGAATGAATACCTGAAGCCTCAAATATTCATTGAGAGTAAATTAGAAGAGCACATTAAGAAGAAATATTCCATTAATGTGTAGTGAACATAGCAGGTCGATACGCGTTTAAAATATTGGAATCAAGTAAGTGGTAATTTCGTTCAATTTTACCATGATGTCTCAATGATAATCCTTTTGAATGTTTGAAGTTGGCTTTGAATATATTTTATACGACGCTGAGGGAGTGGGGAACTGCCGTACCATGATGCTCTGCGTAAGGAATTACAAACCTCTTCAGATACCACAGAAGCGCAGGCTTTCGGCGGGGATAAGTGGAAGGCGAATAGCGTGGCCAGTCCGTCTAGTACAGTGGTTCCCAAAGTGGGCGATATCGCCCCCCTAGGGGCGATGGAAAGATTTTGGGGGGCGGTAAGGAAGAAGAGGGCGTTTGGGGGGCGATAAGGGGGGCGGCAGTCCGAAGTCGAAATCAGAAGTTCCAACGTTTGTTTGCCAATTTATACACAACACGTGCGGCACATCATGACTCCCAGCGATCGTTTTTTCACCCAGATCTGTTTTTTTAACCTCTCCTGGGTTTACGTTTCGGACAAATTAACGGCCGGACTCGCGGCCATTCTCACGACCAATTTCCAAATTCAATGATCAAGGAATATCTCTCAAACTAATGAACTTAACTCGTTGAAACTTGGTACACATATTCATTAGGACCTAACGGTAATGTTTAGTTAATGAATTTTTTTTATTTTGCCTTCATTTGTTTTTGCCATAGTTATATGGCAATACGGGCCGAAATTCACAGTGCACAAGTATTTTCTTCCAAACTACTGAACAGATTCGAACGAAATTTTGAATTTTCAGTCCTAACTACCGAACGGTAATGTTAGCTCGTGAAAATTTATTTGATTGTGCCTTTGTTCACGAGTTTTTTTTCATTTCACCTTCATTCGTGATTTAAACAGCAATACGTGCTTAAATTCGCAGTAATCAAGAAATTTCCTCCAAAACTACTGAATAGATTTGAACGAAACTTATTATTTAAATACCTAACCTCAGCAACGGTGATGTTTAGCTCGCTACAAATTTTTCGTTTTGCCTTCGTTTGCGATTTATACGGCTATAAGTATACGGATATTCGTAAACGGCTCTTAGTTAAACCGGCCGGTAGAAAAGCCGGTTGTTCCTCCTATATATCTGTATAACTCGCGAACGAAAACAAAAGAGAAAAATTGTCACGAGCTAAACTTCACCGTTGGGAGGTTAGGTATTTATATTCAAAGTTTCGTTGAAATCTATTGAGTAGTTTTGAAGAAAATTCTTGATCGCCGCGAATTTAAGCGACAAATTATCCGGCGATACAGGCCGAATATAAGGAAGTGTGAAATCAAGAGTGACGGTAAAATGAAAAAAAAAAACTCGCAAACGAAGGTAAAATCGAAAATTGTTTGAAGCTAAAAAATCACCGTTTGGTAATTAGGAATGTATATTCAAAATTTCGTTCAATTTCAAATTTTCGTTCAAATTATTTGATCACTGCGAATTTCGGCCTTTATCGCAATATAACTCACGAATGAAGGCAAAATTTAAAATTTTTTACGAGCCAAACATCACCGTTAGGTTCTGATGAATACATGTTCCAAGTTTCATTGAGCTGCGTTCATTAGTTTGGGAGATATTACTTGATAATTGAATTTGGAGATTGGTCGTGCGACCGGCCACGAGTCCGGCCGCAAATTTGCCCGAGACGTCATAGGTTTCTTGTGCAGAAACAGTTAAAACAGCTTAAAAACATATTGGTTCACTAAATGGTGTTCTATTAGTGAAATACACATTTTTGTTTAACCTTTACATTTTGAAATTGCAGCGTACTAAATTTCAAGAAAGAGGCGTATGTTTTTATATGTGTCTGTGGGGGGCGATAGAAATTCACTAGGGAGCCAAAGGGGGCGCCAGCCTGAAAAAGTTTGGGAACCACTGGTCTAGTAGACGCGGCGCCTAGCAAACGATGGACCGCAGGCAATGCTGCGCATAACCACAATAAAAAAGTTTAGAGTCGCCCCGGCTTCTAGTAATACAAATCAGAAGCTGCCGCGTCTGTAAAATTTTACTGTGCAAATACTAGACAAAATCCTTCAACGACTTCTCGTTCTTTCTTTGAAATTCATGTTTTATCCCTGGGAAAATTTTTATCGGCTTAAGCTCTATTTTAGAGCGCTTCTGGCTCGTTATGTTCGACCCTTAACATGGATGGGTTAACATAGTGGCGTTGTTTTATTAATATTCAGTTTCTCGTAGTCTGCGACAAAATCGACCACAATTTTTCAGTAATATTTTTAGTATTAATTTTTAAACTCTGTTTTGACTTCTTATACTTGTTCAAATAAAATATATTCGTTTATATCGATTAATTAGTCAAATTATCAAAAAACCTTGTTCTTCAGTGACATTGTTCTACATAAGTAAACGATCACTATTCTGATCGATCGCGGAACTTCTGAAACCTTTTAGTTACAATCCTACGAAAACCCTTAAAGACGACAAGCGACATAAGAACGCCCCTTTAACTAAACTATAACTATTTATGAATTTTGAAAGTTTGTTTCTCCAGGTTGTCTTCGTGATCCGCCACCCCAAGGACGTAGTGTTGTCGTACCAACATCACTGCCGCCTCATAATGAGCCATGGGTTCACGGGTACTCAGGACGTCTTCATCAAGTACTTCGTGGACAACTTGCGTAAGATTGTATCACCTATAAATATATACTTATAGGTGACTTACCTATGAGGTGACGTACCTTACCTGTCACCAGAGGTGGGCAGTAGCGCGCTACATGTAGCGGCCGCTACATTTTCAGTAGCGGTAGCGGCGCTACATTTAAGCAATTGTAGCGGTAGCGGTAGCGCCCGCTACATTTAGAGCATGTAACGGTAGCGGTAGCGGCCGCTATATTTCAAAGTAGCGCTGCCCAGCTCTGCCTGTCACCTATATACACATATGCTTATTGATGGATAACTAATACTGGAAATAATTACTACATGTATGTAGTAATCGCTACGACTCAGAAGAAGGCTACTATATCAATCATTTCTGCACAAAATTTGTCATTATGTGACAACTTTCCGCAGGATTTACCGATACAATTCTCGGTCCCAATAATAAAGACCTGCAGATTGTTTACTGTTGGCACATGTGCGGGCGATGAGCGCTGTCTAGTCGAGGCAGTACCGAAAGCATGACCATTGGCGCATAGAAAAGCAATTTTTTTGACGTTTATACATAATTTTCTTTCCGTAACATTCAAATTCGAAAAAACGCGCCTGTTTAAAACCCCTTTTTGCGAGATAAGGATGAGCAGTCGTTTGGCGTCTCGAAATGATAGGCATAGAACATGTATTAGCTCTGGCAAATTTGCAGACCACTAAATTAATCTGATTGTCTAATCAGATTAATGTGTTCATTGATTAATGTGTTCACCATGTGTTCATTGTTATATATTGGGTTTTGAAGTTATTTTTCTTCGCACAATGGTAAGGACTTTGATTTATTTATATCAGGAAACATTTTCGGTCTCGACGATGTTAACTGTTGTGCGCCGATCTGATGAACCCAGTCAGGCCTCTCTGTTGCCAATACATTCTGTATTGCTTAACCCTTGCTTCAGACCAGCATTTCAGGTGTGCCCGCCTCCACATGGTTTTCATATCAAGAGACGTCAGAACTCAGCGGAGGAGAGATAAGTATCAAATTTTTTCAGGCATGCGAAAGCTCATTCGACAACCTCAAGAATGAACCATCAGTTTTTTTGTCGTATATTTAATAAAGCAAAGTGCAATATTACGAATGGATCGCTCGCGAGCAGCCCATAGTTATATTATAAAAAATTCTATAAGGAATCCTGTGCTTTTAGTTTACCAAATTCAGTAAATAAAATATTAGGTCATTTAATTCCATATTTTCTGGCCAATTCGCCATTCGGACTCGACTTCCAATAATATCCTCATGAAGAACCTATAATTAATACCCTAATCATCTTTCGTGCCGAGGTTCAATAAAGATCTCCCAATTATTAACACAAATATTTTAATCGAACGAAAAGTGAACACTTATCATACGAACACTTGAACTCGGTTATTTTAACATAGGTTTAGAGCATTTTTCCACGGCACAGAACTGTTTTTTCCTTCATATGCTTGGAGCTCAGCATAGCGCCTAGTTCCACACAACACTGTTTATACGAGTTCAGTCTGCGCGAACACCAAATCTTCAAGATTTCACGGCTTCCATGTGGACTTCTCTGGTTGACTTCTCCCTCTGCAGTTGTCTGAATTCAACTGACTAGTCTTTGCTCATATCCCAAAACAAGTCTGCTCTGAATTCGTACGCTGCCACAGGATCGTCAACACCTTAACTTATTCTACGTTCCACATATTGGTTACTATTGTTCGTCTTCTCACTCTGTTTCCCGAAGTACTCATTAATATCCAGCTAAGATCCCTACAAAAACATTCTCTTATTAACATAGATCTTGGTGAATAGTTGAAGAATAACAGCGTACAAAGGATCTTTTGACGAAAGTAGAAAGAAAAATTAGACCTTGCTTTGTTCTTGCTGTAATAAAAATAGTTTAACAAGTTTATACACCCCACCGCGAATATCACTAAGTTAATTAATTATTTTTCCGATCAACATAATGTGTCCAATATGTATTTGACCCATAAACTGATCAGCAAATTTAGCGGTGCTACCCCAGCAGACATTCTTATACTTGAGTTACCGATTAATTATCCTCATGGGATTAATGCATAAATTTTTGTTCCCTCGACACTGATGTTAAAATCGCGATCTACTTAGCCTGTCATTTCAAACTTTAGTGATTTCGCATTCATTTGATTCCAGTTATTTCGATAGCTAGTATGGCTTTGGCGTCAACGAAATGAACTATATAGAAAAATAATCCATGCTACATTCACGGCAGTGCTCTGGGGTTCGTACGGCAACATGGTGCGGGAGGTGATGCAGTATAAAACGCACCCCAACCTGCACGTGATGTTCTACGAGGTCATGAAGGCCGACATCGCCGCTGAACTGCGTAAACTCAACACGTTCCTCGGCACCGGCCTGTCGGAAGGGCAGCTCCGAAACGTGAGTTGACAAACGGCGAAGAAATTAATTAAGTCAAATGGCGGCATATCGTGGACTCATAAAACTTTTAAATACTTTGCATGAATATCAGATCATCAGGTCTCAATTTGAAGAGTTCGAACCATTGTAATGAAAGGAGGAGATCAATACATTCTTGATTAATCATTTATTTAATTAAAAGAGATCAGTTAAAACTGCGAATAATTTATCCCCGTGCCCGTACTGAAAATACTTGGTGCGCAGATGTGCCCTTCCTTTCTATCGTCCATAATTCTTTGTGTCTGACGTGGATAAAATGGTCTGTCTGACTTACGAAACGAAGCAAACTTGAAAAATTCTAAAGTCAAACAAACTACAGCATGTCACAAGGGTTGAAATAAAACCTGAGTTAGGAAATAAACGATAGGTCTACTGGGGCCTGGGCGATAGGACAGATTATTCATTAGTATCCCATTGATTGACGTTCAGTAATGAACTGATTAGAGCGCCGGTAATTCTGACTTAAAATTATATTATATTTTATAGAACGCAGTCTGTGGGTGAATTAATTCGTAAATTGAGTTATGAAAGTTATGAAAGTTAGAGACTTAGAGTAAAGTGTTGAAAAGGCTACAGGAATTTGGGGTGGAACTGTGCAAAGCTTGTATAAGGTGCTGTTGTTCTCGAGACCGGGTGACCGAGGGTTTGTTTATAGTTTGAAACGGCGAGGGTATCAAAGGTGCTGACCTTGTGGAACTCACAACCGTCGCGGCGTCACTTCGAGGGAGTAGGCGTAACGGTGCGCGACACTAGCGTATATAAGGACATTCAAATTCGCGCCAAGGGTTGGTTCTACTAAAGTCACGGTCACGAGCACAGTCTGCAGCGGACTTTGCAACGGCCGCGGCCGTGAGGCCGGCGATTGTCGTTTTCGAACACTGACGGTCGCGACTCGCGAGAAACCTAGAGTATCGAGGCAGCTACGAGTTCGGTGAGCACGTCAAGAAAATCAACATCAACACTACGACTGCGACTCAGCCGTGAGACAATGCGAGAGGGCCACGAGTTGTACAACGATTATAACGCACGTCATCAGAAGATCTAAGTTTCGAGCTCTACACCAAGAATTATCATCGGTACGGTCATCAATATTACGGTCACTATTTTCATCAGAAGAAGCGGTACGGTCACAGTCATCTCGACCGCAGTACGACAACGGAGTTGGAGTATTTTCATCGACTATGAAGACGAGCACCACTATTCCGAAGTACGGTCATCATAAACTCTACGGTTAGACCGGCCGCGAGACATCACTATATATAGCGCGAGAAATACGGCCATGAAGAAAGATCAACTGTGAAAGCGGACGTGAGAATACAGCAGCGGTACGGCCGCTCCACCTACGGCGCAAAGTGTGCGTGTACAATACGGTCGTTTGCAACGGTCGTACGGCTTGACGGAACTGCAATTTATCAACGTATGTAAACTGATAGGTTCTCAATTTTGATTGTGTTCTAATTACCTTTTTCATGTACTAGTGATTTTTTTGTTAACGTTGGATGTGAACTTGAATTTTCCAATTTAATGTGAAATGTATGTGTTTCATTACAACCCTCTTTTTGTATATTTTGCCGAAACCTATTCATGCGAGAACCTATTCACGTGCCGAAAATGGCCACTGCGGACCCAATCTGACGAAATTAAAGCGATTGCCGATTTAAATAAGAAAATAATAAAAATAGAAAAATCTCAAAACTGAATTAACATTACTTATAACCCCTATTTAATCAAAACTTTAAAGTATTTTGGTTTAACAAATAATACTCAACAACATAATAGTCATGACGCTTAGTAAAGAGAGAAATAAAATGAAAGACCTACAACTCGTGACATAATTCATGATAAAATCTGCTTCAATAACCAGACATGATAAATATAACTAGTAAAAAGTTGAATTAGTAATTAATTTATGTTAATAGATCCGTTTCACGCGCAATAGAGGACTTGGACACGACTGAAAGTTATTACTCTGAGCGTTGCTACAACGTGATGTCTGGAATATTGCGGTTCGTCATTAATAAAAAAATATCGAATTAAAAAAATTTAAAGTCGATGCCTAGAAAACTTATAAATGCTTAAAATTAAATTAGTTTCTTCAATTTTAATATTCCGAATAATTTTTAAATATTATTCTTGTTTGCAGGTGCAGAAGCAGACGAGCTTCAACAACATGCAGAGGTTCGACCCGATGCGGATGATGTCGTCTGTGATGTGCAACAAAGACGTCGCCCAGAACGACGGAGCCTTCATCAGGAACGGTCGGTCTTGACGACGTAAATATCATATTAGGCGCATTTTTGTTATCTTTTAAACCAAAGATGATGAAAGTGTTTCCTATCCCGTAGGACCCCTGAACGCGCACTGAAGCGATATATCTTATCAATCATTTATATTTCTATTCGCGTTCAAATAAAATTCGATCAGAATCTTAGGAATAGGCGACACAAAAGTAATTTCTATACGACCTTTCTCGTAAAAAGGACTTTTTATCTAGTCATTACCTTATGTGTTGGTCTCTGGAAACAGGGGCCTATCTGAACACCTGTTTCCTGTTGATTTGATAGAAGCCATTCGAAAATTCGCCGTCGTCTTTATATTCATAAAATCTTTCATGCAAAAAAACAGGGATGGGTTCATTCTTCCGTTCGGACTTGTTTTCCAGTGAGCGCGATGATCGAGAGTAGCAAAATCTTTTATATTTTTGGGCGTGAAAAAATACGTGGTTGTGGGAAAATTTTCATGTTATTTTTAAAGTCCCCTATTCGCTCGTGTTAATCAGAATCATGCGGTCATTGGACAGGGTTTTGTAAATTTATCGAAGTATGGAATATTTTCTGCAGATTTTGTCTAATTAAAGGGTTTTGCGACATTTTTAAGGATGAAGTATTCGTTTAGAATCAAACTTTATTCATATTCCGCGTCTTACAGGGGACCTGAAATTCTGTCTGTACATTTATCGGTTGAAAAATTTCACATTCCCTCCATCTATGCATTATATATGTCTTATAAGTAATTAACTATTAATCAATAACATTCCGCGCGTGTCTGTCAGGAGTTTCTGGCGCGTGGAAGGGTAAGCTGACGGCGGAGCAGGAGAAGCTGCTGGACGACTACATCGCTGAGAACTTCCTGGACCCCGAGCTCAGGGCCAGGTTCCTGTGATACTTCCATGTCCGGATATCAGTGTTGGCCTCAAGCCGAAATCTTATAAGGAGCATACTTGAATGTTACAAGTGAATATAAAGCCAGATAAAATGGCGTATTCTTGTTTGGTGGGCAAGGTGCTTGCACCTAAATTGGACTGTAAATGTACATGTTGAAAGTTTAATTTGTTTCCATTAACCTTTATCCCAAGCGATGCCGAATAAAACTATCACCAACGAAAAGATCTATCTCATGCAGGTGGAAATTTCTTCTCAACTCGTCACCTAACCCTGAGATGACAGTCAAACAGCTTTACGCGACGTATTTTGGTTGGGTTTGTTAACAAATCCCGAGAGAAGTACGAGGCCTGTCCGTAGAATCAGTTCCACTAATTATTTCACATAAAAAATGCTTTAATTGCAGAGAAAGTATATTTTTTGGAAGCTCAGCCTTTCTTTATTATTCTACATAATTGCTGTTGCGTTATATGCACTTCTGCATACGAGGCACCCACTTCTTCAAGCATGTCATGGAGCTCTGCCGCCTGTCCGTGTAGAAAACTAACAACCGTGTTTTGCACCTATTCATCTGTTTGGAATTAGGTTCTGCAAAGGTTTTTCTTCAACTCGAAGAAGAGATGGAAGTCTCTTCGATTGCTTGTTTGTTTCCGGTGTGGTGTAGTCACTGTAGTGTAGCCTGGTCTCGTCACCAGTAACAACAGAGTCCAGAAATTCCTCTTCGGTTGTTCCGCGAAAAGCGAGAAATTCTTGGGCTGCTTCAACCCGCTGATAAATTACCTGCGCCGATTTCTTCTTAATGGACAGGAAATGAATAACAGACCGCAACTCGCAGCTGGCGGTAGACTCAAGAAGAAGTTCCTTCGCTGACGCCTGTTGAGGCAAAACTAATCGTCGCAGGAACGCCGGCTTTGTAAGGGATTGGAGTTGAGGTATCAAACAACCTGACTCTGTCGCTTAGCCGAGCATAGAAACGATCCTAGCGCCAGCGACAGCCAATGGAACTTATTTTACGGACACGCCTCGTATTTTCAACGCGAGGATTTTGTTGGAGATGAATACGCGTCATGAAATTTCTGTTGTAGCGCCCACATGTACCTAGTATTCCGTACTAAAGTTCCTACTAGTAAGTTACTTCGCTCTAGAACTAGTGACCATTGTTAGCATTGACTCGGCTCTTGTACGTTCAAGACCTACAACTACTGTTTTCCTTGTAAGTATTCTGTAAATAGTTTCGTTATGTGTAAGACCTTCACATATGAATATATTATTATTACGTTACCGTTTTCCTGTTTTATAGTAGTGTTATTTTGTTCCAGGATGTTGCGTTCTTGTTGAATAAAGCTCTTGACGAGTTACCTCGGCTTTCGCTTACAACAATACGTTAAACGGGGCTGAATGGGGAAACTATACCAGATCTTACTTCCGGGGCAACAACTCCGAAGAAAATGCATGGCATCGATTGTTGTATAAAATAAAATATTTATTGAAATTCCTACATGACTCTCCACAACGCAGCTTTCTGAACATGTCCCTTCATGTTGAGATATGGCCGGATTTAGTTATACATGTTTAATCGTGACAGTTACATTATATGAGCATATATTTCCAATTAGCTGCATTATTAAATATAGACACACTATTTGAAACCCTATAAATTCACTTACCTCCGACTCTCCTCTGGAAGAACCATCTAACCGTTGCAGGATTCGAACCCAGGCTCGCTGCAGACCGCGCGACCCCTTGGTCCACTTGATATGGCAACCAGCACATCAGGGACAATCATGCCGCAACAGTCCCTTTTCACACATAACATGTTACGTTACAAACAGCTCTAAATTACTTCAATAATAGTATAAATCACATCAATAACACACCTAGTCAATTCAATCACCAGCGCACTCTTTTCACATCATTTTCAACAATTCACTCACATCAAACAACTCCGTCATTTAGGCAAATACAATATATACTCACAGTCCTATATCTTATCACTTATCAAAATAATCAATCTCAAAAAGCCATCATTAAAATAACAACACTCAAACTTTTATCACTCATCAGTCACGTCAACAAAACTAAGCAACAACGCCCTGCATTTTGCCAATAAAACTCTAAACTATACACTCGGTAGTCCACCGAGAACAAATCCTGTAAAGAATTCCAATACTCACAGTCACAATTCAAATCTCATCAATTGCAACATTAGACAGCACTCAAGCAATCATCAGCTCACTCTGCCACTATCGTATTTTAACTCAAACGCAATTCCGAAAACATCAAAAGAATTGACCACTTCCATATATTTGTAAACCTTGCCTACTCTCTCTGTATTTCACATTGGCTAATTTTGCCTAAACCCCCATCTACCACAATCTATGTAACCATAATTATTCATACCTTACCTTACCCAACCTTACCTAACCTGAACGGCTCTACTCCATCCTTACTCATAATAAACTTTCCGTACTCAAAATAATGTAATTATCTCGAGCCCAACCTTACATTACCCATAATTCAAAACCCTGCGCAGCATTACCCAAACTTACTTAACTTTATTTATTCTTCCCTAACCTAACCTAACTTAACCTAACCTAACCTAACCTAACCTAAAAGGACCTAACCTAACCTAACCTAACCAAATCGAACCCAACCTAACCTAACCTAACCTAATCAGTATTTGTTTCAATGCTAAACAATATGATTAAACGCAACACATTTTTCTCTGTGCGCTATTCTGCGCTGGTCCTCGAAAGTGAGAATCGAAGTGAGAAAGTGAGAAAGTCAGGAATGTTACGGTCTGAAATCATTTATGGAGCACTCGATATCATTATTTTGTTTTATTTCGCTCACATGTTGAGACCAACTTACTTTTTATTCAACCCGATCGATTTGTATATGTCCCATTGTGAACTTCTGTTAACTAAGCCACTGCTGATGCAGCAAACACCTAAGATCTATCCATAAAAACACGATAAACACAAATATAACGACTCGGCCTATCGGCCGAGCATTTTCAATCAAGCGGCCTTGATTTTAGAACTTGGGAGCCCTCGCGTGTCTGACGACTCGCCTCGGGCTCGCAGAGTGAAGAAAAAAATCGGGAAGGAATGCCCAGAAATTCATAAATTTCCAGATGGAACAAGTTCCAGGTGGAACAAGTTTACAGATGGAACAAGTTGGCAGATGGAGCAAGTTTCCAGATAGAACAAGCTTACAGATGGAACAAGTTTCCAGATGGAAGAAGTTCCAGGTAGAACAAGTTTACAGATGGAACGTGTTGCCAGATGGAACAAGTTTCCAGATGGAACAAGATTACATATGGAACAACTTTCCAGATGGAACAAGTTTGCATATGAAAAAACAAGTTAATCTTCGTTCTTGCTAATGAGAGTTTGGTAATCGCGAAAATTCAAGTTTCGAGCACTGCGCCAGAATTATATTTAGTACGGTCATTAATGAACAAGCTACGGCAAGACTGACCGTGAGACATCAATATCAAGGAAACATGATAGTTCTGAGGAACAGCCATTAGCCGGGACGACCGGCTACACAGCTGCGACCCATCCGCTGGTGATACGGCTGCAGAAGGGCGATAGAAGTACGGTCGTAGCAGGAGTCGTACCATTCTACGGGAGCGCTATACGGTTCAACAATCCTGGTAAAAGTAAATGATTTTAATGAAGGTAACTGATAGATTTTGAACTTTAATAGTGTTCAAGGTGACGGAACTCCACGAAGGAGCGGACGTCGGTTCCACGACAAAACTTTACGATTATTTCGATTTTGTGGAGAAAAGTACTAAGCGATGACCAAATGAAAATTTCACCGCATGTACAGGAAGTCATGCCCTAGACATGTACGTGCGAAGTTTCGAGTCAATTCATTGCTTTGTCGCCGAGTAATTGAGTGGAGACGGGGAGGGTTTTTTTATTTTTTATAGTCGTAAAATTGATGCTAGAGGGCTGTAAATTCACAGGGACATACTTCTCATCATGGTCGACATGTGTACCGTGTTTGAAACGTGTGGCTTTTTTCTTGACTGAGAAAAAAAAATTCAGAAATTTCGGTTTTGAATTTTTTTCTCGAAAAAATTCATAATGAAGACCCCCTCAAAAAAGTTTACTGCAATCATGCCCAACATGTGTGCCAAGTTTGGCGCATGTGACTATTTCCTTAGAAGAGAAAACGAATTTTGAAAATTCAGTGGTCTTCGCCTCATCCCCAATTCCCTGGGACTTAGAAATTGGCCGGATCTCGGATTATGGACGTTTTTTTTATTATTTCGATTTTGTGGAAAAAAGTACCAAGCGATGACCATATGAAAATTTCACCGCATGTACAGGAAGTCATGCCCTAGAGTTGTGCGAAGCTTCGAGTCAATTAATTGTTTTGTCGCCGAGTAATTTGGTGGGGAGGGGGAGGGGTTTTAATTTTTTTATAGTGGTAAAATTTATGCTAGAGGGCTGTAAATTTACAGGGACATACTTCTCACCATGATCGACATGTGTACCGAGTTTGAGACGTGTGGCTTTTTTTCTGACTGAGAAAAAATTTTTTCAAAAATTTTCAAATATTTCGGTTTTGAATTTTTTTCTCGGAAAAATTCATAATGATGACCCCCTCAAAAACGTTTACATAAGACACGCCGATGGTCTCTATATGCGTGTCAAAATTGGTGACGATCGACTGCGCCGTTCTCACAAAAAACTCATTTGAGCGGATCTGGCCAAGAATTTATGGAAACTTGCCCCAACCAAGGAGAAAAAAAGGAGCCAAAATTAAGGCGCGTTCGAGCAACGGCTGACTTTTTGTGAATTTTTGAAAAAATTATTAGTTTTTGGGGATTTGTCGCTTCCCCATGGGGAATTTTGGGGATCCGACTTTTGATTCGTCAATCTAAAATCAGGCTCTATTATGGGCCAAAATTTCATCTTCGTGGCAGGGCTGGAAGTACAAAGTGGGTCTAAACGTGTCGATTTCACGTAGGTACCAACACGACGAGGACAAGGACGTAAAGTCAAAATCAAAATCTGAATGCGGATCTGAATCTAAGTGTTTCTTCGAAATTCTTTCGGGGTCCCTGCGCCATTAATGAATAAACTGTCGATGATCTTTTACCTAGCTCACCAGTAACACAGACTGTATCGAACTGGCGGTATGTTTC